GAGCATTATCCTGGAGGTGACACTGGGATAATGAGTGTTATCCTGGAGGTGACGCTGGGATATGGAGCTATCCTGAGGGGTGACACTGGGATATGGAATGTTACCCTGAAGGGTGACACGGGGACATGCTGCTGTTGGAGTGGCCTCCTGCTGGGTGTGGCTGTCAGAGGTGACACTGCTGCACTGTGCACTTCCTCAGAACGCTGATCTGAAGGTGCTGCTGTGTCTGCAGATGGTTTTATCTCCCTCACTGGAAAGTCCAGCTCCTATAAATATTACTAATTAAGATTTACTAGTAAAAACTGGTAACAAATCAGGAAACTGTTTCAGTTTGGTTTGTTTTCTGGATGTAGAGGTTCTCTAGTAAGAAAGTTGTATGTGTGTGGCATTACACAGATAATCAGAATGGTCTGCAAAGGCTACAAAATATTTTATTGGTCTTCCTTATCATTCTGTTAATTTTTTCTTTAGTCTTTGTTAAACCAAGCCATGTTTCAAAGAGAGAAGGAAGAGGGAAGTATTAGAAAAAAAAGTCTGGTTTGTGTTTTTCTGATATGTCCAATGGCCACAACTTTTCACTTTTTATTCCAGTGCATGATTTTACACGTTTTATTAATTGAAAAAAACACTAACAAAGAAAAACCCCAAAGCACAACACTTTATAAATGGAAATGTCTTTAGCAAATGGAATTACAAATCAGCAAGAGGCAAAGATGACCCTGCAGAATCATGCAGCTACATCACATAATGATGGCATTTTCCATCCTGAACAATCATGTAAACAGGATTGATCTGGGAAGGTCTTCACAGCAAGAACATGTGAGGTGACCATTGTGCTGGTCAGGAACACAAGTCTTTCTGGTTTCAGAAACAGCCAACCAAGTTTGTTAATCCTTCATTTGGAGCCATGATGAATTGTTTAATTCAAATTCAGATATGAACCTCTTTCAGGATTCTCTTAAGCATCTAACTTTTAACAAAAATGGTAATTAATTTTAATTTTAATTAGTTTTTTAATGAGAGACTTGGAAAGAATTCTTGAATGTTTGCATTTTTAATAGTGAATATGATTTTAGAGTGCACATGATCAGACTTTCTAGGAAAAAGAAGGCAGAAAGATATTTAAAATGGCCAGGTTTTATTGTCACCTTTTTCTAATTGAACATTTCCAGTGATGTTTATTAGCTATTTGATCTCAAGCAGTAATTAATCCATTAATCCAGGAACAAAAACCTGGTTGATACAACAGAAAGATGTTTTCCATCTTTAAATATGTTACTGAATTTAATTGAAACAGTGAGATAAGTTATACAATTCTAGCTGTCTTCTAGTACCTGGGAGTCTAGACCTGGTTCATTCAGCATTTGCAGCCTTATGCATTGGAGTTTGAGGTTGTGATACTTACCTGTGTTTAAATATTTAAAATGTAAGTTTTGGAAAGAAATTTCTTTTTCTACACATGTGGCTGCCAGCCCTTCCTGTTCTCCACTGTCAGGAATTGTTAACTGAGATTCATGTATGGATGGGGAGAGGGGGTGTTACTGTCCCACAGTGATTTTGTTTAGAAGTAGGAGATAAATGGGACTTTAGTTTTTAATTCATAATCAAGTTATCTCCAATGACCCTTCTGAACTTCACTGAAAATCCACTTAATGCCAGCTTGGGTATCGTTTTGGGTTAGTGAGTTCTTTTTTTAGCTAATTGGGTTGGAAAAGAGTTTGTAGTTGGACTGTGGGGATAGAAGCTCAGAGAGCAGCTCCATCTCCCTTTTTAAAGAATTCCCATCAAGATGGAGGGGTGTTTTGTGTTCAGTCAAAACTTCCTTGCCTGCACACTGTAGTACTGGCGAATTTCTGCACAGAAATTTCAAGTTCATCACATTCTGAATTCTTACATCTTTTCCAAAGTCACCCAGACACCAACAAGCTAACATTCCCAGCAGGTGAAATGTCTCATGTCATCATACTGTGATTAAAGTTTGTGCAGGACTAGTCAGATGGTAGTAATTGTCCTTATGTTTGTATGTAGCCTTGTGTGTACAGGAATTTATCAGTGGTAGAGGCTGACTTAATGACATGTTAGCATATAAAAATTAAAAATAACTGTGTATCAAATTTGAGTGGGAATGAAATAACTATTTAAATAGTGGCAGATATAAATGTGGCTTTATATGAGTTACTTTTTTATTATGACTTCAATACTTGAAAGAAGTACTTCAGACTTCCTGGAGTTAGAAATCTAACAGGGTAGTGCTTAGAGTCAGGGTTTGAATTACAAATGATTGTTTTGTCTGTCTGCTGCCAGAAATTGAACTTTCTTGATATGTTTTCTAAAACTCACATTAATATGCTTTTCAACTGTCTGTTTGAGCAGTTGTGCTATGTTAATGTGTAGGCATGTTCTAATTTTGCATGTAGCTCAGGGAGAATATTTCATTGTTCAGATGTTGTGCTTGCACTTCAGGGGTATTGAACCTTCACTTTGTGATTATTTCCCATCTTTTCTCTCTCCTCATTCATATTTTGGGGAGCAAAGCAGTAAGTTCACCATAGCGGTGTGTTGGTGTGTGATGCAGACACATTGCTGAGCCCGGTGGGTGTGTTGAGCTGGAGACAGGAACAGATATCACAGAGCTCTGGGCCACTGCCTGATGCTGTATATAAAGGTTTCATCTGCAGGGGAGCTGCTTTGGCTTGGTGCCTTCAAATAACTTCAGTCACTTTTGCATTGAGAAAGAAGTTTAAACACACCCCCTCTGTCCAAAACTAGGCTTAGTATTTCTCATGTTGCTTTGTAAGGAATATGTAACTCTTTGAAGAATTTGGAGGACATATTAAGTTTAGGATACCTTAGGGAACTCCCAAACTGGTGAATTTTAGGAAAAAGGGTTTGTTGTGGGGTGTCAGTGTAGTTCTGTGGCATTTAAGGACTTCTGAAAGCTTGGGCATAGGTAGTTGCATGGGGCCTTTTCAGTTGCTAGAATCTAAATAAGTACTCAAAAGCCTTAATATTTGATGTTGACTTGAAAATAGCTTCTCTAATCAGATTTCCACTGTACTGATGATTTAGTTTATAATAATATTGAAGATTTCAGCTGATTCAGCATTTAGCTGCTTCAGCTGATCATTATGAGGGATGACAAAAGTGGGCAATGGGAGTTAATTTCCCAAGATTTTATGTTTGCACATTGAAGGGGATGCCAGGTTCTTTTGGTGCAGGAATGAGATTGATGTAGTAGCAGGTCATTCTGTAGTCTTTAAAATGTTCAGTTTCTCTGTGTTTTGTCAGTAGCCCCCTCCCCATAGTGTTAGACTGATGGTGGGAAAGTAGTGATGGTTCCAATGAGCAGCCCCCAGCATCAAGCTCTGTGTTCAGTATTAAGGTCTCTAAGTTCTCCTAAGATGTGGTGGAGATGATGGTGCTGTGTGCCTTTGCTGCTTTAAAGGAAATACTTCTCTCTACATAAGTTACAGGAGAAGAGACCTTACTTTTTGGAATGGCTTGGAAAATAGTTTTTTGGACCTGACAGTTAAACAAAGAGTATTTACGTCTACAGTCTGCAAGATAATAAATAAGTTTCTCCTCCTCCTCCTTTCCTACAGAAAAACACTTTGAGGCTATTTGTTTCTAGATATAACACTTGTCCGTAGCGCTTTGTGGGTCCCACCTTAACACTTTTAAATAAGTTGTGATGGAAAGTCACATTTTGGATGTAAACTAGTTTAACATCTCTGTGTGACTCTGCTTCATTAAAAGAGAATTAATGTAGAGAGTGTAAGGAAAAAAATAGGGGCAAATCAACTCAGGCTTTTCTTTTGAACTTATTTTTGTGGAAATCAGTATATGACTTTTTACAGTTTATTTGTAAAACTGTCCAAGAAAACCGTTTAAGGCATTGTCTGTAAACATTTCAGCACTTCACCAGAATAGAAAAGCAAATAAAAGCTTGATTCTTTTGAAGTAGTCAAGCTCTGAGATGCAATAGACCACATCTCCAGATATTGTTGGGGAGTGTGTATGGGCTTTTGATTCACTGAACAACACTTAAGAAAAACTTTCTGATTTCACTAGTGCCTCTTGATTTTCATGGCAAAGGTTCTTCCTGTAGCTGCTCAGAAAAGCCAACTAATTTTGAGTGCCCAGTTTGTTTCCTTTGGTGGCTTTTTCAGAGCTGATGAGGTCCTAAGGCTCTCAGAGACTGAGTGAGGCAAGCTGAATGAAGGAGCTCTTGGCAAAGAGTTCATGTTGTCCAGATCCTGTTTGTGCCTTCAAGGAAGAGAGAATCACATCTGAAAATCTGCCTGTTAAAATCTGCTTCCCTACAGCTACCCAGTGGGGTTAAGTGTATTGATCTGAGTGGCTGAGCAGGGAATGACTTCCTCATTTCCCTCTCTGTTTTATTTTTCATTTGGGGTGTAACATGGCACAGTGCAGTCTGTTGCTGATGCACATGAGAGAGATTATGATTTTATAGCCACTTTCATTACTAAATTGGTTATGGGAAATTAATTTAGAACTTAGACAATTGTGTTGCTGTTGATGGTGAAGCCTAGGTTTGATTATTTTTCTTCCCTTCTTAAAGACAAACTAACAGGAATCTTGCCTAATGGCAGGATTTTCTTCTATTTGTAGTGTGTCATAAAACAAATTTCTTGGTGAAGAGCAGGTAGGATTTTTACAGGATCATTTTAACTTCTAGTCACATGGAATATTTGTGGTTGGGGCAGGATCATTTTAACTTCTAGTCACATGGAATATTTGTGGTTGGGGCAGATACAACTCACTGTGTTCTGATGCACACCATACTGAGCATTTAGATAGAGTATTTCTGAAATTAAGTTATTCTAGACAAAATACCATACCTCTCTTGCTAGTTGCCTAGTCCTTCAGCAGTACATTAATCCCATATGTACCCAACTTGAATTAAAAAATACAAACAGAAAAATAAGTTCTTTGATATTTGCAAAGGATGTGTTCCTTGACCACTCTCTGTTTTGCAGGCATGGTCCTGGTGCGCAGTGAGAACGGGCAGCTGCTGATGATCCCCCAGCAAGCCCTGGCACAGATGCAGGCACAGGCACACGCCCAGTCTCAGCCTCAGAACACTCTGACTCCTCGTCCTGCTACACCTACCAGTGCACCCCCAGTGCAGATATCCACAGTGCAGGTCAGTCCAGCAAGCTGTGCTGCTAAAAACTGTTTTGTTCCCTGTGCAGACCACATGAGAAAGTAAGGTGTGATACTAGTGAAGAAACCATAGATCTAACTGAAATGTAAAGACTTTTTATAGATTCATAGAATCTCAGAATTGTTTGTGTTGGAAAGCTGTTGGAAGGGGCCTTAAAGCTCATCCAGCTCCTGAATGGGCAGGGACACCTTCCACTAGACCAGGTTGCTTCAAGCCCCATCCCAACCTGGCCTGGAACACTTCCAGGAATGAGGAGTCCACACCTCTCTGGGTAACCTGTGATGAGGCCTCATCACCCTCAGAGCCAAGAATTTCTTCCAAATAGCTAATCTAAATCTACTTTCCACAAGGCATAGGCATTGGATTTTGTTCCTAATTCTGTTACAGCTTGGCTGTTACTCATCAAAAATATTTTTACATATCTGAATCTCATTAAGTTGAAAACTTTGATATAAAGGAGACCATATATGGTTAATGTGTACAACTCTTCTCCCCAGAATAAACACAAGACTAAAAGAAAAAAAAATTATATGGATATACGTGCACCAAGATTTTGACAGTTGCATTAAGTTCAAGACTGAAAATCCTTCTCAGAGTTTTGTAGTGCTTCAGATGCATTCTTTGCTCTTTGTAATAATGCAGAATCAGAACACTAGATAGAGCAGTTGGTATTTACTATAGGCACTGATGTGTTCATGATTTTTTTTTTCCTCTTCCCCAGGCTCCAGGAACACCCATTATTGCACGACAGGTGACACCAACTACTATCATCAAGCAAGTGTCTCAGGCTCAAACGACAGTGCAACCCACGACCACGCTACAGCGTCCCCCGGTTGTGCAAGTGAGTGTGTAGGGAAGTGATGTGTGCATGAGACTGCCAGGCACACAGGAAATGCAATTGCTCAGTGCAGGGAAGAAATGCCTTCTGGATTAGCCTTTCTGAAACATCTGCAGGTCTAAGTGTCTATTTTGGATGTACAGGTATAATTTTTTATAGGTATATTGGTATTATTTCATATTACTCCTATACATATCTCCATTGAAAGGTATTGTGTTTGTAGTTTGTACGATCACAGAGCTGACTAAAATGAAATACCTTTATGCTTTCTGCTTAAAGGAAGTGACAAGAATTCCCCTTGGGTTTTTGGCTGTGGTGTTATTCCTGTGGTGGATCTGCAGTCCTCTGAATTCTGCAGCAAAATTCACAATTGCAAAGATGACTGCACTGGCAGCCTTCTCTTCCTGAAAACTTCTCCCTTTCACAGGAGTCTCTGCTTTGGTCTGTGGCCTTCTGGAGACTGATAACTCACAGAGAGACTGATGTCAGTGTGGGCTGGCCTCTATTCATTTTGGGCTTGCTTGGACATTTTTTTTTGAGATGTCAAGAGTTTAAAAAACAGTGCAAGAGTGTGAAATTCTCCACATGGCTTCCAGGCAGCAGTGATACAATATGATTGCTGTCGCCTCATCTGTCTCATTGTGCTTTCTTCATCCTTTGAGGAGACAGGATTAGAGAGTTTTAATTTAAAACATGCAGGTTTTGCTATGCATCCAGTTAACCTTTTTCCCCCTCAAAGAGCCTTTCCCTATGCCAGTGCTCTTTCTAGATCTAAGAGTTAATTTACCTAACTGAGTCTCCTTAATTTGCACTGCTGTTATACTGGACAAAAAAAAAAAAACAAAAAACAAAAAACAACAACAAAAAAACCCCATCATTCCATCTGCATATTTTGTGCTGTAATGAGCACACCATGGACTTCATTTATCCTGATTTCAAAAAAAAAAATGAGCCAAATGAAATCCTTCTCTCTCTTAGTTTCTCCCAAAATACCAATAAAGTTAGCTTTAGCAGCAGGGGAGCCTCTTTTTTTGTGCATCTTTATATAAAGAGCAAGTTTACAAATGATTTGTGAACATTCTGAGTGTCAGTTGTAGCTTGGTAGGAATTTGTCTCTCAGACTGGGTTGTTGTTAATAATTAGACTGTTGGAAGCCCATGAATGAGCTGTGTATGTAAGAGGATCTTGCTTGTAATTGTGATTCTTTTGAGCTGATATTTCTACTTCAAATTACCAATTTGTCTACAAAACTGAAAAAATGTTTTTCCTGTTGTTTATCACAAACACCTCAGTAAGACCAGAGCTTTTGTGTCAGTTGTGCCTTTTTAGAAATTCCTCCCTTTGGAAGTGGCATTTAATGAAGCAGGTAGAAAGATAAATTGAATTCACAGTAATTCAGCACTTGTTTTAGCTGAGCTTTGAAACCCCACTGGCTGAGATTGTGTTTATGGTATTTTATTCAGTGACCAAAAATCGCGCAATTTTTAATCAACTTTCGGAATTCCCGTTTCGAATGTTTTTAGTGCCATCTGGTGGCCGTTTCCTTCCACTGCACCAGACCGTGAGCAACTTATTTATAGGAGCTGAGAGGTGTTCTGCTGCCCTGTGGTTCATCTTCTGTTTGATGGCTCAGGAAAACAGGCTCTTGGTAGGTTCCACGGAAAAATAATCTCGTGTTTTTATTCTCTGCAGCCTCAGATTGTTCTGGGTGGTACTGCACAAACAACCACGTTGGGGACAGCAACAGCCGTACAAACTGGAACTCCTCAGAGAACAGTGCAAGGGACAACGGCCACCTCCACTGCTGCCACAGTAAGATTTTGAGAAATGTAACATCTCTTTTTGTCCACTCACATATGCATGATGTGCATATGTACACATACATGTAAACACAGATGGGAGTGGAGCTTAGTAAAGATGCAGGAATCCTGTGAGCTGTTGACCTTGAAAAGGTAAACTTTAATAGAACCATATAATTTACAAGGTGTGGGTACAGGTCACTTGAATTTTGATAGGTGTCAAAGTGTTTTTATTTCTGTAACAGTATTAAAGCACTCATTTAAAAAATGTATTAGATATATTTTATAGAACAGTGAAGTGTTCAGCACTGTAGAGGAGAATCACTATAAGAAAGGATAAGCAGTTGGCACTGATTGATTCAAGCTGCATGTTTCCAGGATTGCAAAACAGGGAGAATCCATGTACTATGCACTGTGAAACAACAGCTTTACTATTTTTTGTCCTGAAAAAACACGTATTTTCCCATATACAATGTGCCTTCTTAAAATACTTGGTGTTTCCTAATTTCATGAAGAATCACAATTCCTTACATTTTGGTAACAAAAATGTACAATACATATGAGTATATGAAGAAAAATATTAATCTCAGTCTGTTTATGTTTTAATGTGAGGGATATGTATGTATAAATATGACTTTGTACTGATGAACTAAAGGATTTTATTTCATGGAGTATATGGTCAGATCATGGATTAAGAGGAGTTTGTCTTCCTTTCCCTGATTGTTTTCCTTTTGCCCTTCTTTCTAAGGAAACTATGGAAAATGTGAAGAAATGCAAAAACTTTCTGTCCACATTAATAAAACTGGCATCATCTGGAAAACAGTCCACAGAGACTGCGGCTAATGTGAAGGAATTAGTACAGAATCTGCTGGTAAGAAAAGTTCGTCAGAAGTTGTAAAATAGAGCATCTGGGCAAATTCAGACTCAAATTTGGGTTTTGGTGTTTTTTTTGTTTGGTTTTTTTTTTTTTTTTTTGTCATTGGATGGAGTTTATAAAATTGGAGCTAAATCAAATTAACTTTGCCTCTTCTGAATTAAAATAGATGGATAAATTTTCCATTAAGTTTATTACTGCTTATATTCATGCATGAGAACATGAGTTCTTTTGGAGTGTGAGTAATGCAAGTAGTGGCTGTTTAAATTCTACATTTTGATAAAACAACGAATAAAGAGATGTATTATGTACTTGAGGGAAAATACTACAGCTGGTGCAATAGCTGACTGTAGGAAATCACAAGTTTTTACAAAATAAATAAACCTTGCCTGATGCTAATATAAAACTTGATATATTTAATATTTATAGAATGAATACTAGTATTGCTTAGTCTACATATTAACAACCTTTAAGTTATGGTTATCTGCATTCCATCATGCACTAACCAGAGGTCTTTAGGTCTTATTATTTGAAAATTGTAGTAAAGTTGGTTGCTACCATAAAGCTGTTGGTAACTAAAAGTAGTAAGGGATGATAAAACCACTTAATTTCAGTATGTTCCCAAGTCTTAAATTTTTTTTTTGGTGTTGGATATCTGTAAAAAATTAATTTCTACAAGTTTTTCATTTCGATTTTCTGTTTCGAAGGATGGAAAAATTGAACCAGAAGACTTTACCAGTAGGCTCTACAGAGAACTTAATTCTTCACCTCAACCTTACCTTGTGCCTTTCCTGAAGGTAACTTCTCTTCACTACTCTTCCTTTATCTCTGTGCTTATACATCAGCAGCAATTAACACTAGCACATCCTTTGCCATTATATGTGGAATTCCAAAATCATGTTAAAGGGAGCTTTAAATGGTGCCTGGTTAGGCTTTTGCTCCCTTAAAAAACACTTTTTGTGTCTTAGTTCCTAGAGTTTGTTACTGTGATTCGTTGGCACAGTCAGTAATGTAACTTCTACCATGGTGACACATAGTAGCTCTTTTGAGAAATCTGAAAAGTTGTATTTCTTTGACTTAAACCACAAACCTACGAATTGATTTATTGCTCTCTTTTTAGTCTTGGAAAGCAAAGGGATTCAGTGATAGAGAAAACTGTACTTTCTGGGAAATTTTTGCCTGTGCTGTAAAATGGTTTGGATAAGCAGGAAATTTGTCATCTCCCAATGATAAATCACACTTGACATAAATTTTATAGTAGTTCAGCAAATCTTGAAATAGTATTTATTGCAAAACATTTACTATCAGTGAAATCAGTGAAAATATAACAGCACTAAATGGTAAGACTGTAACTGCTTGACTAATGTATGATTATGGGATATAGTTGTAGGTGTGTGTTAATATTTCTGGGTTCTTAAATGCTTGTTCAACCTTGGGCTGTTCCTGAGGACAAAAATTGTTGCCATAAGAAAACGACTAATTTAAGAAGCCACCAAAACACTGTGGTCTCTGTTGAGCTGTTGTGAAATCTTCCCGGGTGTTCCAGTGTGACTTTTAAACTGTAGGATGACAGTCAAGGCAGGCAACATGGGCTTGGGTTGTTAAATACATACCAGGGGTTCCAGGTAGGCTGCATAGCCTAGATGCCCATGATATCCAAAAGGTATTGTCCCTCTGTCCTGCTTATTGAATAGGAGCAGGTTGGGATTTCTGTGTGCTCACCTTTCCTCAGGTGCACACAGACCGATCCAATGGACTGAAACAAAACACGCCGCTTCTTTACCATTAGTATTGTGTGAACCAGGATTAAACAACTCAAGCAAACTCTTTCCTTTCCCCTTTTCAGAGGAGTTTACCTGCCTTGAGACAGTTAACACCAGACTCTGCAGCTTTCATTCAGCAGAGCCAGCAGCAGCAGCCGACGACGCAGGCGACGATAGCCACGATCCCGTCGGCGGCAGCCGTGCTGCTGAGCTCCTCGGTGCAGCGCACGGCAGGCAAGGCCACTGCCACTGTCACCAGTACCCTCCAGCAACCCGTCATCAGCCTCACTCAGCCCACACAAGTTGGTGTCAGTAAACAAGGGCAGTCCACGCCACTGGTATGTGAGCTGGAGTGCAGCGTTTGTTATTGCACAGGGGTTTTTTTTGATAGCACTTCTTGAATTGGTGGTTTGGCTCAATCAAAGATCAGATAAAAAAAGTATAATTTAAATTACATCTTGGTTAAAGTGCTCTTAGGGTTTGTTCTTGCCACCTGATTCTCAGATTATTTACAGTTCTTTTTTTTCCTTATGATTTACAGGTTATCCAGCAGTCTCAAAAAGCAGGGGCATTGATAAGGCCTCCACAAGTAACATTGACACAGACACCCATGGTGGCATTGCGGCAACCACACAGTCGTATTATGCTCACCACGCCTCAAATCCAACTGAATCAACTTCAGACAGGTAAGAGGTCAAGATACTTGTGATGTGCCATATTTGATAGCATTACCTGAAGTGTGGTTTAGGGATTGCTTGCCCAAAGAAGTTGTTGATACCCCATCCCTGGAAGTGTTCAAGGCCAGGCTGGATGGGGCTTGGAGCAACCTGGTCTAGTGGAAGGTGTTAGAGGGGTTGGAACGAGATGATCTTCAAGGTCCTTTCCTGCCCAAACCATTCTGTGATTCTATGAATGTCAGTTCATAAGTGCCCTTTTTGTACTACTGCTAAAATCTTCCACTGTATAGTGCCATAGTGGCTGGGGGTGCAGATCTGTCAGGACAGCATTGACAGAGAAATGTTGTTTGGCTGCTGGAATTTTGTGGAAAGGGTCCTGTTTTTACTTGGGTGAAATGCTGACAGAAGCTATTGAGGTCAACTCTTTGTACCAGACCTATTGCCATAACTACCTGTGACTGGCTTGCATGTGTGAACTCTTACTGATGGAGTACAAATCCTGTCTGTCTTCTTGCAGTACCTGTGGTAAAACCAGCAGTATTACCTGGAAACAAAGCTATTGCCACTGTTTCGACACAAGTAGCTGCTGCTCAGAAGAATAAACTGAAAGAACCTGGGGGAGGCTCTTTTAGGTGAGGAACTGTATGTTTGTGCTTGGGCAGCTGAACTCAGACCTTCCTGGTGCTGAATCCATCTGGGGAAACTCAAAATAACCTAGAGGTGGATTTTCTGGGGGCAGGTTTGCTTCTTCATTAAAGACTTCAACAAGCAGCACTGGACATACTCGTGCCAGACTGGTTTTAGCATTTAGCTGGCACTAAACCTCATAAACAATTCCTGCCCAGACAAGCAAGTGGAATTCATTCCTTCACTTCTCCCAGCTCTGCTGGAGTTACTTGGTGAGGTACAGCCTGTCTTAGTGGTGAGGGCAGATTATTATTGTTTTGTAGTAGTGATTTGTCTGGTCTCTTGTTTCTCAAGGTGGTGAAACATTACATAAGAAAAGATCTTGGAAAAAACAGGAAGTACGAAATTAGTGCTCTTTGAAGTCAAAGCAGTAATTTCTCATTTACAAACAAATGAGTTGTATTTTATTATATCACAAAAGCAAATAAAATGTAAAACTAATTATTCAGGTTTATGGTGGAATTCATTATGTACAGTGTGTGCAGATAAGCACTAAATGTTAAGATTATAATAAATTTTCCTTCCTTTAAGGGATGATGATGACATTAATGATGTTGCATCAATGGCTGGAGTCAACCTGTCAGAAGAAAGTGCTCGGATATTGGCAACAAACTCTGAGCTCGTGGGCACGTTAACAAGGTCCTGTAAAGATGAAACCTTCCTTTTCCCAGCACCTTTACAAAGAAGGATATTAGAAATAGGTATGTTCTTTTATCTTGAACATAAATAAAACCAAATTTCACTACTCTTAGGTTTAATTGAAGGCATTTTCCAAAGAAATTGGTTTGAATAACGTTACCTGGAGTCGTTACCTTCTGGTATTTTCTGGTATATTCAGATGCTCGTGGGAAATAATTTGTTTTATGAAAGTAGAATAGTGTCTAGGAATAGCAAACATAGATTTGCCTTCTAAAATGATGGCAATTCAACTTCAAAACTACCTAATCTGGCTGAAAGTCTGACTGTATAAACTAATAAGGTGTATCAAGCATGACACAAACAATGAAATAAGTCCAGAAGCACTTTTATCAACTTTACTTAGTAATTTAGAATAGATGGTGGAACAAAAAGCAATCTTGAATTCTTTGTTACACTGTAGTACACAGCATTTATTAATAGATTGTCAATTTTGTTAAACTAATGTGAATTTTAATATGTGTGTAATTTCCTGTTTAATCATTGTCTGAGAAAAATCTGCAAATCATATTTAGAAAAATATTTCAATTTCTATGACTGAGATTTTACTCATATTTAGTTGTATTGTAAAATGATTTTTTGCAACCCACTTGTGTTCTGATTGTAGGTAAAAAACATGGAATAACAGAAATCCATCCTGATGTAGTTAGCTACGTATCACATGCTACACAACAAAGACTACAAAACCTCGTGGAAAAACTATCAGAGACTGCTCAACAAAGGAATATTTCCTACAAGGTAACTGTATTTAATTGCTCAAATCAAATGGCAAAATTACACAAAGTCAGCAGGCTGGGGTGTTGACTGTAATGCAGGAGTTCAGGTGTTCTTTTTTCTGTGAAATCAGGTTGTTTATTTTCTTTGACTGATTCACCTTCCATTAAGATATTAATACGCATGGGTGACTGGAGCTTTTCAGCTTGCATATACAAAATGGTTTTAAAACAAATGCAGAGTAGCTGTGCCCTCCCCTTTATTTATTATGTCAAATGTTTAGTGTGTGAGTGATTGTAAAGTCAGACAGATAAAAGCACTGCTTTGAATTCCCAGGAGACTGCTATCTGACAGATGTGTGTTCCTAATAGATGCAAATGCCTGAGCAGTGTTTAAAGAACCACACAGCTCTGTGAAATATGTTTGAGAGGTTAAAGCTGTGATGATATTAGTTTAGAAGTCAAAATCTGATGATTCATGGAATAGAACAAAATGCTTTTAAGAGTTCTAGCTGGTTTGACTGGTGTAAATATACTCCTGCTATTTGTCTGAAAAGGACAAAGTGAGCATTGGAGCTTTGAATGTGTATGTTCTTCCCCAGTACAGTACAAGTTAACAGCTTTGTTTTTAAGGGAGTAATGAGAAATGTATTTGCTGTATTTTCAGGATGATGAAAGATATGAACAAGCAAGTGACGTTCGGGCACAGCTCAAGTTCTTTGAACAACTTGATCAAATAGAGAAGCAGCGTAAAGATGAACAAGAAAGGGAAATTTTAATGCGCGCAGCAAAGGCAAGTGCTTGGCTTACACACGTGTTTGCAAAGTGTCAGTTTTGACATCAAAACTGCATAGTTTCTTTTCATTCTAAAACACTTGCAATGAAGGGGAAGACTAATCTTCAAAGATGGAACTTAATGAATGTGTTCTCAACTAGAGCTCAGTTTTGCTTTTCTCTGTAAAGCATGGGAAACAGCTTCTTTGCCACTCTTGTTGCACATTCCCAAATTAAAAGGAGTCTTGAAATTTAGTTTTTGCATTTTGCATTGGCAAAAAAAGATGGATTTTATAACTTGGTGGTACTCTTAAATGTAATAGAGAGGGACTAGAAATAGAATTCAGAAAGATTTTTACAAACTGGAGAAATACAATAAACAGGAAGCAGTTGATGTAAACATGAATGTGAATATTAAACTGTGGTTTTACTCAGTGAATATAGAATGAATATGGTTAAATAAGAGTACCCTAGAAATAATTCACAAAACAACCTATGTTTTCAGTTAGTTTTATGATCCAGCATGAGTTGACAATGTCAAAATCCAAATTTACTTTGTTGTTGGCGTAAAGAATGTAAGGGATTAACAACACTCAGGATTTAATAGGACGAGAGGAAATGGCCTCCAGTTGCGTCAGGGGAGGTTTAGATTGAATATTGAGAGCAATTTCATCACTGAAAGGGTTGTCAAGCCCTGCAGCAGGCTGCCCAGGGCAGTGGTTGAGTCACCATCCTGGGAAGTATTGTGTAGATGTGGCACTTGGGGGCATGTTTAGTGGCGGGCTTGGCAATGCTGGGGAAGCAGCTGGACTTGATGTTCTTAAAGGTCTTTTCTAATCTAAATTATTTCATTATTCTAAGAGTATGACACACACAAGGAATGCAGGTGCCCAGTGAAATGGGCAATTGCTGATGTGAATGGTCTTGGGTCACTCAGGTGCACTTTGTTCAGCCTGCAGCCTGACCTGTGTGTGTAGGTGTAGCAGAAAGATCAGCTCTGAGTAAGTGCTTGGTTACCCAGCAAGGGGAGGAATTGTTCCAAAAAGTACAGGTCTGATTCCTTTGTTGATATGCAAAGTGTGTAATTCAGTTCACAGATCTGTGTAATTTGTGTCTTGTAATTTGTGTCTTGTAGTGGTTGCATTTAAGACATAATTGCTTGGCTACTCCTTGGCTATCTTTAACAAAGCAGAAAAATGGGATGCCTTTTTCAAAAATAGAAACTTTAAGAAAAGGCAAACTTTTAATTTCTGAAAGTTGTTTACCACTGTTGCCTTCTGTGGGAGTGATAGGTATTCCCCACTTCCTGCTGAAATTTAAGAAAAGCTTTCATATATAATCTTTAACTGCTTTTGTAACCGAGTTCATTTTTCTTTCTTTTCCTCCAACCACCTCCTGCTCATCCTTTATCAACACAGTCTCGATCTCGACAAGAAGATCCAGAACAGCTTAGGTTGAAACAGAAGGCCAAGGAGGTGAGTGCTGAGCACAACTTAAACTTTTATTTTGGAAGTTGAAAGAGAAATCATGACCCATCCTTGTTCTGGCACACACAGATGCAGCAGCAAGAGCTAGCACAAATGAGACAGAGGGATGCCAACCTGACTGCGTTAGCTGCCATCGGTCCCAGGAAGAAAAGGAAAGTAGATTCACCAGGATCTGGATCAGGGACAGAGGTACAGTATAATTGTCACCTTTGGTTTTGCTGCCTCAGCCTCTGTGCAAACCTTTCTGTTCAGAGCTTTTTTTCCCAGTTTGTGGAAGCTCCCTGAGCAGCAGAAGTGTTTTGTGTTCAGATTTGCTCACTCCAAGGCAGGATCAATTTTTAGCACCTGTAGGTGCTAAAATAGAATAGGGAATAGAATCTGAGTGGTCATTCCCTGATTGATGGAACTGGAGGGATCTTAGAAAAACCATCTCTGATCTAACAAGTCTCAACTTTTTGGACCTCCATACTTTTGGAAGGAGATTTTTGTGGTCATAACCAATCCAACTTGAAGTGCAGAGTAATGCTGAGATAGTGGGGTGGTAGAATTCAGTCACTGCTAAATTTGACAGCAGGAGTTTCAAGTTACAGGAGCTTGCCTAATTTTTCTCTTCAGCAGTTGATTTGCCTTAGTTTTAGTGTCTCCACAGCAGATCAGTTTGACCAGTTCCATCTGATCAGGATGTTCTTGCACATCCTCTGTACAGTCTACTGTTGAATCTGCCTTTTAAAAAATTCTCTGCAGATTAGGTATTGGAATGCTCAGTGTCTGATTCATTTAATTTACATTCTGGTACATGATTATCTGCTGTATTTCTAAACAAGTTAATAAACAAGAAATGGTATAAAATTGCTTTCTGCATGAGACATTCAATAATGGATTTCTCTAATGTTTTAAAAAGAACAAAATATTCTTGAAAATTGTCATTTGTTGGACCAAAAGCTCTCTTCATAATTTGAGAATTTTCCCCTGTGGGGTTTTGTGTCTGATAGCAAGTGACAGAATAGTAATAGTTTAATAGTCCTGTTTATTACTCCTTGAGCATTCTGAATTTCCAGTGCTAAAGCATTTATACTGTAGAAAAACCTCAAAAGAGTTCACCTGGTTTTATACTGAATTGCTGGAAGCAATAATTTACATGTGCTTGATATAAAATGGTAGAGAAAAATCTGAATACTAGTAAATGTTATTTTTGTTTATAAAAAAATCAAGCCTCTTGAGCTTCTTTTAAAGTAATTTTAAGTTTTGAAATTTACTAAGATGTCTGCTACTGAGAATAAGACTTGCTTTATATAAGCTGACAAATGACTCTATTAAAGGTTTATAGATGTAGTTTAAAATTATGAAAATTACAGAATGGGGCACTTTGCAAAGATAGATGTGTACACAAATGAAGTTGTCTCAGAGGAATATGCTGAAGTACCTCATGCAGAGTTAATGTTGGTATTATTGCTTACTCCTGCATGCTCAGCTGTGCCACCTTAATGGTCTGTTAATGTCACTTAGGTTATGGGATGTATTTTGCATCTCCTGTGAACACTTGTTTGTATTTCATCTAAATCTGACTAATTTCGTTATCTTGGATTAATCACTGGTTAACCAATTAACTACAGGTTCCCTGGAAATCCAATCTTTTTGTCTGCTTAATTAAGGAGCAGCTGCCTTTGATCTGATACTCACAGCTGTGCTTTTGCTGCTGTGTCACTTGACATTTTTAAATTGGGCTCCACTTGTCACCATTTGTATGCAGTTTGTGGTTAAGGCATATTACAAGAAGTGTGGAAAATAAGGTTTGTTGTTACTTAGACACAGTTTTGTAAATGGAAGCTTTTGATGTCTACAAATGCTGACTCTTAATTACATGTAAAATCACTTCTAAGTAGTAATTGCACTGTTTTGTTTCCAAATTCAACAAAACAGGTTGCTGTCAGTTTGAGAGTTTTATGTCCATGTGATTTTACTGAAAGTTACCAAAAAGCTTTTTAACTTATTCCATACATAATTCTGGGTCTTTAAAGACTCCTGAAATTTTACCTTTGCATTTCAAGTATTATGATATAGATAATAAAGCTCAGGCTTGAGCTTTCACTAAAGAATATTTAAAAACCAAGAATAAAACCCCTTCCAGCCATTCTTTCTGTTCTCTAGCAATCATACGTATGTGAGAAAATTTAGTCAGCATCCAGTACTTTACTGCATCTTCTTATTTCCACTGAAGTTGGTGAAAATTAGATGGCCAAATTATGCAAGTGCCTTAAAATTGCTCTTGAAGATCCAGACTTTGAGCAGCCCTAACAACAGGATTTTAGTGATTTGGTGTTTGCTGGGTCACCAGAATGCTTGAGAATCAAAAATCTGGATTTCCTGTTAGCACTGTGGTGAAGCAAGTTTGCCTGCACTGAACAGAGTTCTGCTAACCCAGAATGAACATTTCCAGTGCAGGTTTAGGTTGTTTGATCATCGATAATGTTCATTGATTAAATACATTACTTTCACACCTGTTAGTGGGAGCCTCAGCAGCTTATTCACATAGCTCATGCACCACTCTAAATTTGAGGTTTTTTCAAGTCTGGGGTGTTTTTATTAAGAAAAATTTTTGAAAATTCTCCAAACCCAGACAGTGGCAGATCTTTATTCGCTACTGGGGTGCGTTTGGTGTCGTGAAGTATAAAAGTTTCATTAAAAAAATTAAAAGATAACATTATTACGGTAAATTAAATTGGAGGGAAAAATGAATGCGTAGCTGAGCCTCAGAAATGGAGCCCGTTGCCAGAAGGATCCGTTCTTTAGGTGAATCCCATCAGCGCGCAGGGATTCCCGGCTGGAAGCTGCGGGCGCAGCCTGCATTCCGCTCCGCGCGCGCCCTCTGCCGGCACTGCGCGGAGCTGCAGCTGCTCCCGGCCCGCTCCTTCCCCGCCCTTCGTGCCGCTCGTTTGTTCCCTTCTGCTTTTTGCTCCTTCTTCTTCTTCTTCAGTGGTTGATATATAACATGCTGTCTGTTTGTCCTACCACTCCGGGAAACTCCCAGTATGTACCAGAGGGGTGAGTGATGCTGAGAGATGGAGAGGCATTCAGAGGTCGTTAGAGAATATGTCACTGAGTATAGGAAAGCTTCTCCTGAATTTAGTCCTGAGCTTGGTTACAGCTGTTGTCATCAGAAGGAGAGCATCCTGCCGTGGAGATCATGGATGCAAGGCCTCAGTCCTGGGAACAGGACTGCTCCCCAGGTCATCCACAGCTCCAGGGCTGCCCTTGGCATCTGTATGCTGGAACTGTGAAGAATCCTTCCTTTCTGTTTGGTTTGGTTGTTGGGATTGAGTATCCTTAGCACCTTCCTAAAAACACAAGCAGTGCTTTGGGCTTTTTTTGTCTGTATTGAATGTCACTGAAACCTTGTTCAACTGTTAATAAATCAGAATTACAAAGGAAATCTCCAATCTGGTAGCATACGGCTGTCTGACTATGTAGAGTTTTTAGGTCACACATTTTCTCTGAAAAGTTTTGGAGTGCTTTCAGGCATGGACTGATTGACCTGTTCTTGTGCTTTCCAGGGATCTGGTTCGAGTGCAGCAGTCCCAGGCAGCTCTGGAGTTGGAACAACCAGACAGTTTACGCGACAAAGGATAACGCGGGTGAACCTCAGGGACCTCATATTTTGTTTAGAAAATGAGCGAGAGACAAGCCATTCACTATTGCTATACAAAGCATTCCTTAAGTAAAATGGAAAAGATCAAGGTATTTTTGACGGAGAGACGCCTGAGGACATTTTTTAATATATTTGCAAATTACGCCTTTTTGTAACAAGCGAATGGGATATTGTTTAAAAAACAACCACCTCTTTACATGGAACAGTTTTATATTCCTGTTTATAAATAAACTCTTCAGTATAAGAGAAATACATTTCTGTAACAGTGAGGATACTTACAAGGCCTGTGGATACTATAAAAGGACAATTAAATTTTAACTCATCTCTTGATTGAGTGGCCTTCTTGCCAAACAAGCCATATATAAAGACTGATGGAATCGTTTAGCAAATAACTAGCTACCCTTTGTCGGCCCTGTAGCAGTTTCAACATTAATTGTTCATTTTAGTTCAGTTTTATTCAACTAAATCCATTACATAGGCATATGTCTACAGCAGATGACCTCATTTCATTTAGCTGTTTTTTTTTTTAAACAGTCAGTTAGCAAAGCAAACTGATTTTTTAAGAATATTTATCTTTTCCCCCAAATGCTCAAAATCTAGAGGGATATACAGTTAATTTTAAACATAACCTCAATTTTAATCACATTATTGCTTATTAGAGGCCCTGAAATCCCATAAAGGAGGGTTACTTCTGAATGTTCTAGCAGCATCTGTAAAAATGCATTTTATTTGCTATAGTTTGTAAAGCTGTAAAGTTAAAAAAGGAAAAAAAGGAAAAAAAGAGAAACCTTTTCAGCATAAATATATTTTACTTGCACTGTGTTTTTTAGCTAAAGTGAAAGCTTAGATTAAATAAAATCAAAAGTTGAGAGGAATCATCGAAAGACTTTCTCAGTGTGAATCAAGTGTTGAAAAATGGTTGGTGTATTTTGTCAGTAATTGTACATAATTTTTGGCACATAACATAAAAATGGCTATGTAAACTATAATTATTTTGCTAAAAGACTGTATGCAAGCTGTGGGCCTACTTTAAAGATGTCCAGAGCAAAGTCCCTTCTTTGTACCTATTTTTTTATTACAAATATACTAATTGGTTCTTTATATTTTCAGAGGTTATTGTATTAAATTGTCTATTGATAGTACTTTTATGACTGTAAATACTTTGGCTTTCTTTGTGTGAACTCTCATGGTAGAATTTAACTCTCTTGCGTGTAAACTGAATGCTGATCAGTATTTTTATCAACAGCTGACAACTGTTACACCCCTTTTATTTTGTCTCTTAGGAAATCCTGTCTTTCCATTTTTTTTCATGTAAATTTTGCACAGTTACTTGTTCATATGTAAATATTTTACTTTCAAAAATGAAGTTTTTAATTGCTATTGTTTTATATAGGATTGAAAGAAAATTAACTCCTTTATTAAAAACAAATTTATCTGTATTTGCTAATGTATTTTTCTCTCTAAATCTTTTCTCCACTTGCATTTATTTTTCTTGGTGCAGTAAAAGATGAGTCTACTTGAGGGGATACTGTTTGCTAAAGATGCACTTTGGGATGTTTTTATACTGTTTTGTTTTATCAGTATTTTGGAGGATGTGATTTCATGAATCTTGGCATTTGGTTGTTGTCTTAGGGGTCTTGAAGTAGCACCAGTGGGCAGTGGGTTTGGTTTGGTTGGTTTTTAAGCAGAGAAAGATGTCTGAAACATCTGAAATATTGTGTTTGTCTAGTGAAGGTTTAATAAAACAGCCTCTCCTTGAGGGCAGCCTGCTCCCTCAGACACAGCTAAAGTGGTTTGCAGAAGAAGGTAGGACATAAAACACAATTTGGAGCACAATTGTGAAATCAGGGACATTTCTAATTATCATCATGAAAATCTGAGAAGCATTTCTGATGTTCGGTACTGAATATTCAGCTTTTGGGTTGTATTTTTTAAAATTCCTCCTCTCATGGACCAATTAACCTAATAATTTTGAGGGCCTAATCCTGCTAATAGATTAATTTGATGGTTATTCCTTGCATACAGACAAATCTGTCCACAGGCTGCTGCCCCAAGCCCTGCTGTGAGCAGGCCCATGGGAGATGAGTGTCTGAAGAAGAGGATCAGCTCCTAAAGAGATGTGCTCACCTACAGTGTGTGACACTGACCCCGAGACTCTCATTGTTTGTAAACTCCAAACAGCCTTTAAAAACTGTGTCATGGTATTAAGTGGGAAGAAACACCTTTGACTTTTGGCCAAAACACTGGCAGAGCATCCTGTGAATTGTAGCAGGAGCTGGTTGTAGTTGTTAATCACCACTGGCCAGGCACTGACTGGGCACAGTGTCTGCAGAGCTGTGGCAGGTAAGTGGGGAAGAAACTGAAAAATTAAAGTTATTACCTGGTGTGCTGTTCTTTGCTCTCCCTGCTCGGTAGCTTAGAAATATTCTAGAGAGGCCAAGGGAGGTTCTGTAAGAGGAGAGCTCTTGGTTCTGTTTTAAATAACATTGGTTTTAAGTGCACAGGTGGCCCTTCACTCCGTATAATTTTTTCTCAGCTAAAAGGTAAATGTTCCTGTTGTTAGTCAGAAAGGCTGGTAGCATCCATTTCCCTCCAGAAGTTCAAATTAATGGAGTTTTGGACTGGGGAATTGGCACATTATTGTCAGTACACTGGCACTGAGGAGTTGTCATGGCACAGCAGTTGAAGACTTTTGTTCATTTGTTGTTGGTTTGGGTTTTTTTATGATAAAACCAGTAACTGTTCTTAAAGCTGCTCAGAAATTTGACATTTCGAAGTCACAGCTGAGGAGGGGTGGCATTTACAGGGCAATACCTGTGTACAACAGCACGCCTCTTGTGTGTTAGTGACCTGTAGAGAGAGAAATTGTGATTCTTTCCTGGCCCCAAAACTTGTGCTGCTCCACCAGAGACTGGGGAAGAGAGTTCACTGCCCTTTCCTTGGGTCTGTCTACCAAGACTGAGGCACCTTTGTTGTAAGCACCCCCAAAACTGCAGTTTGCCACAGCTGGGATGTTCTGTGTGTGTCAGTGAGGGTTTATTGCACCTTTATTATAGCACACTCTTTCAGCCCAGTGTCAGGGACAGCTTCCTTCTCTCTTGGAAGCCTGTGGCTTGTGGTGGGCTCTCTGTCCTGTGTTACAGAAGTCTTGATGTCTTTGTATTTTTTAAAACACCTTTGATTGGGTAGTGCATATCTCTCATGTTGCTGAGCTGTTGGTATCATTCTTTTCCCTACAGAAAAAATTGATCAGAACAAGTAGGATAGAATAAGGCACTCTGAATTCAGCCCATTCTTATTTCACAGGTTTATAATTAAATAGATATGTTTTCAGAAAACCTTTTTTAATATATAGTGAGAGATGCATGCATGATAAATAACACCAATTTCACAGTAATTAAGGTTTTATTGGAGGTTTCCCTGTGATCCAAGAAGTTTCTCCACATTTCTAAGATTGTCTAAATTAAGAATAAATGAATAAAAGAACTGCAATGACAATTTTAACAGTTTTCTTAGGTTTACAGCTGTTTGTCCATCTGCAGAGAAGAGTGTTGACCACTGGGGTAAGTGAGGGAGGGTGGCAGCTGGGCTGGGGTGGTGACACTTTCAGGAGTGACATTTCCCTGCAGTGTGGGAATGTGGATCCACCTGCTCAGGTGAGTGTGCAGAGCCCTGTGCTCTGTGTGCAAGGTGGGAGGGTCCCTTCTTCAAAGACTTCCAGTGCTTGTGCCAGGATTTTTGCACAGCAGGGCTTTAGGCAAGGACCTGATGTGTTAAAATGTGGTCTAAAGTGCCAGGAGGAAAAGGTTTAGGTTGATCCCAATCTTTAGATTTTTGAGAATGCCTTGCGAGCAGTCCCCATGGCAAGGATTGCTCCTCAGTATTTGGGGACGTTTTGTAGCAGGTGACATTTCCCTGTCTGTGGAAGTTGCCAGCTGATGAATTTGGGAGATGTTTTTGGAGGGATGAACAGGGAGGGGCAACACCTTCAGGGCTGCTCTGCCATGGCTGACCTGACTTTATTTGCCCACCACAAAAGCTTCCCCCAGTTAGGATATCCCACAGGAGAGAACTAGAGGTATTAAAGCTGCATTTTAATAGCCCAGATCTGTCCCTTCCCTGCAAATCTGCTGTGGCCAAACCCTGCACTCTCCTGTCTTCATTAGAGTCCTGGGAATGGTTATGCCAGAGCCCAGTGGGAGCAAGGCAGAGCTCCTTCATTTTGTGTGTTGTTATTAGATGCCACAGAGCTGTGAGAGAAAGGGAATACATTTTTTAAAACTTGCTTTTGGGAATTCAGTCATGTTCTCCTGTGTCAGCTGAGGGAAACTTGCCCAGTGCTGCTGCAGGGGTGGGAAGGTGAGGGGAGCTCTGGGCACATTGTGGGGAGGCCTCATAGCCACTGCCTGATCTTTATTCTTCCCCTTCAGAAATAACTTTCCTGTGAAACAGTTTATCTTCCCTTTGTTTTCCTGCTCAGCTTATTTACTGTTATTCTCTGGAAGCAGCTGGGTTGCACCCTGTCTGGTTTCCTCCTGGGAGTTTCCCTGTTCTGAAGTCAACAGAGGACTTGTACAAACACCACGCACAGCGTTTGGGCTGTGATATGGTACCATACTGCTGTGAAAGTGCTGCATAAATGCATAACAAATCTGGCTTTTACTGCTCTGTAAAAGTACTGCATGGTTTAACTTGAGCACTTATGTACTTTTTCAATCCAATAACAAAATCAAGTTGCCAAAAAAAAAAAAAAAAAAAAAAAAAAGTTGTGAGTGCTTTCTAGTTTGCTGTGATACATTTGGTGCTCTAATTTCGAGCAAACACGTTGGAGAGTTGCCCAATTATGGCAGATTGGAATATGAAGAACAATATATCTAATTTCCCAGGAGAGCAGCGTGCTGATGTTTAGGCACAGCCTCTCTCAGTGAAAATGAAAATCCTTGTGTCGTGTTGAGTGTGTCACTGTTCAGCTCCTTTGCTCCACTTTGAAAGGGACAAGAGTAAAATCTGGGTAGGTTATAGGTAAGGCCCTTCACCTTCAGGTGGAATTGGTGGGATTGATCATTTATATTTGAGAAATAAGAGTTAAGTTCCTTTTAAAAAATTATATTCTCACTTTCCACACTGATGCACAGCAGTGGTATGTGATTTGAAATTGTGGATTTCCTTCCTATAGTGTTTTTTGTTTGTCCTTTTAATTCTATTTGTGTGATGTGAATTCCTGCTTTTCCTACTTACCCATACTCAGGTGGTGGGAATATGTTTTGTGTTTGCTTTTTCTGGACACAGACATTTCAAGGTCTCCATTTAGAGCACAGCTCTAAACCAGCTGTGCTGGTGGAGCTGAGTGTGCCAGTGGAGATGGGCACCATTCCCATCCAGCCCTCTCCTCCCCAAACCCAGGGGAGGCCTGTCCCTCCTGTCCCTGCAGCTTGATCTCAGAAAAACTCCCCAAAACTCAGTTCCCTGATGGAAAAATGCCCAGGAGCTCATGTGGGCAGGGTGAAGGTGCAGGAACTGACAGCTGGGAAAGGGAAAATGAAAGACATGGACAGCCAAGGTGAGAGGCAGCACAGGGTGGTGAGATGGAAGCTCTGAGCACTTTCATCCTATGGGAATATGCCTGGTGCTGGCCATAAATTTAAAATATAAATACCCTAAAAATAGCTAAATCTGATTCCTGCACAACACAAAGCAGGTCTGTGTGAGCATCCCCATCTCCTTGGCAACAGAGGCAGTCAGGGAGCAGGGAAGGTGGAGTGTGGTCAGCAGTGGCCATGGAGAAGATGAGGGCTCAACCCCCCAGTGCCAACATCACATTCTTGAGATGGGAAGTGCTCTCTTGCAGGGTTTGTAGGTTTGGATGGATTCTTCTGTGAGTTTGTGAAGTTGCTTTGTGAGCATGGAGGGAAGGTCAGGATGTTTGGGATCCCCCAGGCTGCTCCTGGTGTGGGCTGCCCCTGCTCCCAGCCCACCTAACTTATGGACAGATATATATATATATCTGCACATGAAATATGTGTGTCTGTATATATATTTGTGTATAAATACATGCATACACTGAGAGATATTTATAAAAGTCTGCTTTATATAGATGAAAGATGCACGTTTTTGAAACATGCAGGTGGGGCTGACTCTGTGACCCACCAGCTCTCCTGTATCCCTGATCCTGACAAAAGCTGATTTTGAAGAACTGGGGAGTGTAAGTGTCACTAAAAGCTGCTTAAAGGTGTAAAATGGAATAATTGTCCAGCAAGGAGCCTCTGGGATGTTTCATCCTGCACATGGAAACTACAGAGGGATGCTCCTTCTGAGGACGGGGATGCTAAGAAAAGTTTTCAAGGAAAACTCCTGGGGTTTTTTGCCCTTATATCCAGCGAGCACTCTGTAGATTGTTTTGTGTCTGGATTTGGAAAGAGAGTGGTGTGA